TGATGCCTACCTGACTGGGGTCAATTGAGCCCAGTTTTCCTCCTGCCCAGGCAGGGGGTCGGACTTGAAGATCTACAAGGTCCCTTCCGACCCTACTTCTATGAAAAACAGTATTTGTAGAGCACAGCAAAAACTGTGGAGAAACACTAGTGTTTTGCAATCCAAAGTATTTTAGGCTAAGTACAGATGTTACACTTTCTGTGTTTTAAGTATGCAGAAAGCACTTTACACCTGTAACAAAACAGATATTCACATTACATAAATCTCTTTAAAAATGGTGTATCCCACTCTTACGTTAACCCTGGATGGAATTGGTATCAGACTAAAGCACTTTAGGTTACAGCACTTAATTGAATGTCTGTACCACATTCCATCCTAAGTCACAGTAGGTCACATTCTCCCCCGCATCCCAAGGACCTCTCACTAGGGGGCTTGCTAGCATCAGATAGTGCTCGTCTCCTCTGGGTGAATACCAGCCCAGCTGTGCTCCCAGGATGCTACAGAGAGGAGAAAGAAAATGCTCTGTCTCCTCTCTGCAGAGCCAGGTGGAGGCATGGAGCCCCTGTGCCATGCGGGCCCCTCAGGTTGCTTGTTCGGGTCTTGTGGTGGGGCCAGGCCAGGTCTGTGTAGCAGGAGGATCCTTACCCCCCCACCCCAAGTTCCCAACATGGCCAAAAGCTAGACCAGCCAGTCTCATGATGCAGCTGCTGGCTGCAGCTGTCAAAAGGTTGGGGTGGTAGGGGCCTCCCGCAACATGGACCCAGGCTGCCACCAAGATACAACCCAGCAATTTGGAGAGGATCTATGCTGCACTGGGGCTCCCTCCCCACCTCTCTTACCCTAGCCACTGTTGACAGTTGCCAGCTAGTGGGGGGGGGGAGGACAGGACTTGGGATAGGGACTACTCCTGAAGCTTCCTAGAAGGCATGTGGGAGTACCTCCCACCTGCTGGCCTTGGCCAGTGGGCAGACTCTGAGCTGACCTCCCCCCACCGAATGGGGAATGTCTGTTTGGTCCATTCTTCTTCTAACTTATAGCGCTTTAAGTGAAGCATTATAATTAGAGGCCTTATGCTAGGGCCTTATTGGACATCTGTACTTAGCCATTTTCCATATAACTATCCTGTCCCATAGAACCCTGAAATATATTAACTTAAAGGCACACATATGTGGAAAGAAGGGCCCTATCCCAGGTTCCCCCTGCACTGGCAACAGCAGGTTTGACTCCCTGAACTTTCCTAGCTGGGGCCCCTGGTGAGCTGAAGCAGGAGCTTCCAGCCTCTAGAGCACAAAGAAGTCCTGAAAGGCTCTAGTATGCTCCAGAAATTGGAAGCATTTGCCGCATATTCAGGTAAAGGTGGAACCAGTCACAAAATTATTAAATATATTTTGTATAATAACTTTGAGGCTTAGTCCTTGTTAAAACTTAAAATTATTTATCTTAAGTTGGTAGCTAGTAATCCACAGAGATGTTAAAGAAACAGAGCTTTTCAGAGCAACAGGTTGGGATTTTAGTTGGAATAGAAGGAAAAGATCAGCAGAGATCTAGAGAAGAAGATTTAAGAGCTTACATAATTAATTTGAGTTTGCAGTTGAGATTACTCAGAGATAAGGTATACAGCAAGAAAAGCAAATAGCCAAGGACAGATCTTAGTGGATGAAAGCACCAAAGAAATCTGAAAGAAGATTCCATGAAAAGATGTGATGGAAGAAGGATGAGAGGTAAAAAGTGAGCGAGGAAAGAATAGAGGCACCAGCCAATGACAGATAAAGTTTCAAGAGCATGGTTGACCACGTCAAATGCAGTGAAGAGTTTAAGGAAAATGAGGATAGAATTGGTTCTAAAATTTGGTCCAGAAAAGGTCACTAGAGACTCTTTGAAGAGTTCAAAGATTTCAGCTGAATTCAAGTGACAGAAACTGAAGTAGAAAATATCTAGTAAGTATCTGAAGGGAGAGAGATTCCAGACCAAAAGTATAGACACCATTAATTGTATGAACATGTGGCCAGGTCACTGCTTAAAAGGTGGCTAACCAGGTAATCATATCTTAAGTGTCAGGGGCCTTCAACTAATATAGTATGTTTTGGGGGAAGAGGCAAAGTTTTGTTTTATTTGTAAGCCTATGCTTCCAGGCAGCAGGTAAAAAGCAGGAGGTCCTGCATTTGTTTAGA